ATTGAAGTAAAGAATGGAAAATCTATATCAGTATATAGTAATTTTTCAGAAGAAAATGAAGTTATTCTTCCATTGGGTACTCGACTTCGTGTTGTCAGTGATGCGTTAGATCATGCGTCATTAAATGTGATACACTTGCGAGAATTGGTTGATGAAAATGATCAAGAATTAACATCATCCTTTGCAAATATGGGTGTCACTACATCAATCAAACATCAAATGGGTGAGTAGTTACTTTGTAATAGATTAAGTAGACAATGATTGTTACTTCCTAGATTACAAAGAAACACTGCCAAATAACCAATCCTCAACATTTAAAATCTGGACTGACGAAAATGGAAACAAATATGAAGGAGCATGGAAGAACGGGAAAAAACATGGAAAAGGCACGTATTACTATGCCAGTGGGGAGAAGTATACAGGTGATTGGATCGATGACAAGATGGCGGGTCAAGGTGTTTTTACTTGGCCCAGTGGCAATCGATACGAGAACGAGTATTCACAAATCTCTTCTTCTGGTCTATTGTAATGGTCTATGTATAAGAAAGAATAGTTGATACAATCTACGAACAACTGATGGGACAATTCAAGGATGCCAAGAAGAACGGAAAAGGCACGCTTTACTTTGCCAATGGGGACAAGTATACAGGTGATTGGGTCGACGACATACGAACAGGTCAATGTGTTTTTACATGGGCCAATGGCGATCGATACGAGGGACAATACAAGGATGACAAGAAGAACGGAAAAGGCACGTTTTACTTTGCCAATGGGAACAAGTATACAGGTGATTGGGTCAATGACATGCGAACAGGTCAAGGTGTTCATACTTGGCCCAGTGGCAATCGATACGAGGGACAATACAAGGATGACAAGAAGAACGGAAAAGGCACGTTTTACTTTGCCAATGAGCAGAAGTATACAGGCGATTGGGTCAATGACATGCGAACAGGTCAAGGTGTTTTTACTTGGCCCAGTGGAGATCGATACGAGAAGGAGTATTCACAAATCTCTTCTTCTGGTCTATTGTAATGGTCTATGTATCAGAAAGAATAGTTGATACAATCTATGAACAACTGATGGGACAATTCAAGGATGCCAAGAAGAACGGAAAAGGCACGTATTACGTTGCTAATGGGAACAAGTATACAGGTAATTGGGTCGACGACATGCAAACAGGTCAAGGTGTTTTTACATGGCCCAATGGCGATCGATACGAGAAGAAGTATTCACAAATGTCTTCGCCTGATCTATTGTGATAGTCTATGTATAAGAAAGAATAGTTGATACAATCTACGAACAACTGATGGGACAATTCAAGGATGACAAGAAGAACGGAAAAGGCACGCTTTACTATGCCAATGGTAAAGTTAAAACAGGACAATGGTCAAATGATATCTTCATGGGATAATTTTATTTCTATTCTTTTATCACGTAAGATGCATCTCTCAGCCAACCTTAATTATTTGTGTTTAGCATGAGTAAAGTAAGTAAAAATCAAACGAGAACGATAAATCAGTTTTATTGTGCATATAGAATTATCAATAAATCCAAAAATAATGTTGAAAATTCTAATGAGCTAGATAGTAAAATAACAAGTATTATCATCATGCGTCTAGCAGTTTTTAACAAGCTCTAGAAAGTAGCTGCATTCGAAAACAGAAGAAATGCGAAAAAAGTTTGAGCGCATGTCTGCCAAAATAAAGAAGTCTGATTAATGAGAGTGCGAATATAGAATGGAATGGAGGGGTCTAGGCAAGAGTAACTCAAAAGGAATTTCCTAGCTCGAACTCACTATTATTACGCACACTCCACACCCACACGTGCAATCACCTGTAGCTACCTATACTCACAAACTCCTACTCGTGAAAGTCAATATGAAGTATTAACAACTCTTTTTATCACAAAAGAAAAGGACGAAAAGTAGCGAGTAACATCGGGTTGAATGAACGTATTTTATTTACTCTTGTTCTCTTTAAATTACTTTGTTATAATTTTGTTTAGAAATCAGAAGACAAAGCTTTTGCTTTAGGAAGTCGTCTAATTTTTTTTTTCTTCAAATGTCAATTATTATGTTGACTTAAAAAAATAAAAAACTGATAACATTCTACAATTTAGTACTCCAATTTCATTCAAAAAAATGCTTCATCGTTCAAATTTCGTAGTAAAATATCAGTAGACGAGTATATATTTTTAACGTGACTGTTGCTGTGACTCTATGCAAATGTATGGATAAAAAATGTGAAGTCCATTGGTCACATCCAAGAAATTGTCTTTGAACCCTAAACCATGTCGCATAGCACTATCAAAATCTATAGATTGGAATGCTCCATTTTATCATGAAGATGCAATATGAGTTGTTGGAATTCTTTTAGTTTTCTATTTTTTACGCTAGAATAATAGTTAGTGTTTTAAGGACAACAGTTATGCTATTTTCTAGTAGAGACAATTTTTTAACTGTAGACTATTGAACGACACTTAATAAAAAGTCTAAAGAAAACAGAGAGAACAAAAGTGACTCTTTGAATATAGACCATCCATCATATGTACCATTGTGGTAAACACACCAAGTTACAATGTTATCCTGTCGTGGCTGCTTGAAGAATAGATTAAAATGAAAAAAATGTATTCAATCTCTACTGTTTATAATTAATTGATACAAATCATATCATACGTAGTATAATAAGTAAGGAAGATTAATAGAAGAAAGATATCAAGTTCAACGAGTTAATCTATTCGTTGTTTTTTTTATTCGACGTGAGTGATTAAAAAGTATAATCAGTGAGATAGTTTTTTCAAATGAACATAAGTATTCTTATTCTAATCTGTTTTTCTTTCAAATACTTCGGTTAATAGAAAAAAAGACTTGATATTCATTAGATTTCTAAAATTCTTTAGATAAGATTTTATTCAATATTATACTTAAAATGGTTCTTTAAAAAATCGTTTACCATTACTACTATATATCTTGAACGGTAAATTAATAAAAGCATGGAGGCCTATGAAAATAATTTGACCCTCAAAATATGTAGCTGGCAATTGGTGGGATTTCGTTCATCTCATATTCAATATTTGGAATTTTCTTCAAGTTTTATTCCACAATAACAGTAGCTCACCTGTATTTTTAATTAAGGAAACAGTTCAACATATGTTACAAATGTTCTAATAATAAAACGATATTGACAACTTATTGTATTGTATTACACAAACGGAACTATGATATTTGGTGCATATTATCTTTTCTCTACATGCATACTGGTAATATTTTAATATCGCATTTTAAAAAGTGGTTAAATGAGTTTTCAATGATTACAAATCTTAATAATATTCTACTGAAATATCTTCATTATTAAATATCAAAATCGATTTTGAATACTTTAAGTTAAATTGTAGTATTTACACAATTATATATCTAGATGATACTCTTCTAATAAAAACAACACTTGTTTCACTGTTCATTATATTTACACGATTTGTTTTGATTTTAGAAGACATATTATGATGATCTACTCTTTGTTTCATGTTATATATCTAATAAAAGAAGTTTACATATATATTTTCAGATATGACATTTTCTTTTTGATTTGCTAGTAATGATAACTGTGTAAGTTTTAGCAATATTTCAAATTTGATGTTTAGATCGAATAATATTTTTTCCAAATCAAAAGTATAAGAGTCACAGAATGTTAGCATGGTTTGTGATTCCACTAAAGAGAGAAGGTTCCAAGATGATTAAAAGTTTGTGAGTCTATATTGTACCCAGCTGTATGGGATTGATAATCGAGAAGACTTTCTAAATGATTCGTACTGACGTTAAGATTTGGCTGAGATATTGATGCTTTAGTGAATTTTCTTTGTATGGACCCAAATTTTTAGATAAAATCGTATTGTCAAATTTTGACCTAATAACTTTGCCCAGATGAAGGTCTCCGTAAGACTAGCTTATGTATGAAATTTTAGAAGTTCTTCATTGAGTATCTCTGAATATGCATCTTCCAAAATATGCGTGTTTTATACGATATGAATGGAAAATCATCTGAAGTCTGAAAAATACACACCTCAGAGACATTCAATCGAAAACCTCTGAAATTTTGTGTATATGCTAATATCACTGAGATCTTCATCTGAACAAATTTTTCGGGTCAAAGTTTGACAATAGGATTTCATCGAAAAATTGAGTCCATACAAAGAAAATTCACTAAAAATGTCAGCATCTCGGTCAATTCTTAACATCTACACGAACCCTTTGGAGCTGGTTCTGATATATAGGTCCTCCTTGACTGGGCCGAAGATGAATTCAAAAGCTTTTCATCATATTGAGACTTCCTCTCGTAAGTCTAACAATGAAACCTCTGTTTATTATTCATATTTGATACTAATTTATTTCTCAATGCTAAAGTCAACAGATTTTCTATTAATGTATTTCATATCCAATAAAAATGACATATATTTATTGATCATCACTGTAATTTTAAATCATTTCATGATGTTTTTCAAGCATTCTTCCATATATATAGAAGTAATCGATTATTGATCAAAATAGATTTTCAATAATGTTTAGTTCAGCAAAGTGAATCGAAATAAAAACGATAAAAGTGAATTATTTCAGATGATGAAGATAATGATTTAGATGAATTATAAAATAATTTAAAATTTGTATCGAGTTTGGATGAAAACATCAGAGAAACTGTTATCGAAATCTATCCCGACTTGCTACAATGTAGCAGAGTTGATTTCATCTTTATATACATATCTAAATGATATCAAATTTTGATGTTTATATAGCTTATTCAGTGAATTATTAATATTGTCACATCTGATCCATTCAGTTGATTTCATCTCTATTTTATCTATGCACTCATTTAATGCAATTGTCATTTTCTGCTTCATATAATCTATGTTATGAATTAGTTTTAATCTTTGTGCAAAATGAAATACAACTTGCGTAAAGAACTTGAGAATTTTTTGCTATGAGACGTTCAATTTAAAATACAAATAAACTATAAATTAAGTAAATTTCTTTTAATCGATTCTTTACATACTAATTCTAATCGTTTAGCATAAGTCCATTGAGATTCTTGAACTGTTGATAAAATAGCACGTAATACTTTTCCATTTCCTAGTCCGAGTGAAGTCGACGGATGTGTTGTTTCATGATTGATAAGTAAATCAACTAAACGTTCATTTCCAAGAGTGATAGCGAGTGAAGGTAATGTTCGACCATTACATACAGCATTTGGATTAGCATGATGTTCAAGAAGTAGACGAACTAGAGATAATGTATCTTCTGTTGCTTCATGTGCACATACAATATGTGAAGGAGTACGACCATGTGGAACAGAGTCATTCTAAAATGGTTTTTTTTTGTTTTTTGATGAAATATAAAAACTCTTTACTATTCTATGTATATCGATAACTGATGGATCAGTAACTGATAAATATTCTTGACCACTTGGTAATGATTCTGCATTGACATGTGCTCCATGTTCTAATAATTGTCGAACAATATCGATTGCATTTGATGATCAACAACCACAAGCAATATGTAATGGAATTAAAGAAGCATGACGAACAACATTTATACGACAATTAACTTGAGCTTTTTTCTTTAATAATAATTCAACAATATCTTTAACACCAGCTCGAACAGCTAGAGCAAGAACTAGTAATGACCAATCACTAAGTGAAGAATTAACATCACGACGAAGTAGAAGTCTAACAAAGAAATTCTTTAACAAAAAAAAACATCCTTATCATCCGCGTTATAGATCTAAAAATTGATGTATGCATACATTTCATTGGCAAAGTATGTATACAGAAATTTTCGATCCTACTGTACATATAATAACTGAGATTCGAGGCGATATAAACATATTTGATAAGAGAATAAACAGATTCTTGAAAATGTTCATTCTGAAGATGTTCATGAAGCTTATCAGAAAATTCGTAACCATAAGAATCTATTGATATTTTTGTGTAAATAATTATCTGATATATTTCACTAAAGTCTTACTTTACTTATCTATATCATTTATTTTAATTGATTCAAATGAAGAAATGAATTTATCTTCATTGATTGTACTTGCTCAACTTATTAAATTTCTTGGAGTATTTGTTGTTGCTCTACTTAATAATACTCTACATTTTGAACTTGATCGTCTTGTATTTACTACAGATATTGATTTTGGAGTTAAAACAATAGGATCTACATGTTCTAAAACTATATTAATTGTTTGTTGTGGATCATTTCCATAAT